AAAAGAGAGAGCGAAAGAAAGATATAGATAGATAGATATATATATAGATATCTGCGCAGGAGTTCAAATCCTGCAATCTAACGAACAAAAAAAATCATCTAAATAGTGGATCAAGGATGATAACCTAACTACTTCAGACACCACCCATTTTAGAAATGTTGAAAACATTTCAAAATATGAACACAATATGACACAGCCCATCGGCAGGCACTGACCCAAGTTTTGTTATTTTGTCTGTTTACCAAATTCAAGTTAAATATTGAATATGGGTTTAAAGTTACAGCTTTAAATTGAGGGCATTTACATCCAAATTGGAGGAAAGGTTTAGGAATTACAGCTCTAACATGTAGCCCCCTGTTTTTCAAGGGACCAAAAGTAATTGGACGATTGACCCAAAAGCTGTTTCATGGACAGGTATGGGTTATTCCTTCATTATTTCATCAATTAAGCATGTAAAAGTTCTGGAGTTGATTCCAGGTGTGGCATTTGGATGATGTTGTGAACCCACAACATGCGGACAAAGGAGCTATCAATACAAGTAAAACAGGCCATCCTTAGGCTGCGAAAATGTTTTTAGAAACAGGAATATTAGGAGTGACCAAATCAACTGTTTAGTACGAAGAAAAAAATAACGCACTGGTGAGCACTGCAACACAAAAAGGCCTGAAGATCCTGTCACCATAACTTTAATAAGATGAAGGTATGGGACTGGTAGTCAGTGGTGGTTGGTGACTTTTCAAGTTGGTGGGGCGCCAGGCTTGACACAGTCGAATACACATGTATTTGATTCTGTCCCTAAATATTGGTAATTAAGAATAGGAACATGTCAACATGTCCCTTCTACTGCCAAATATGTGGACAATATCATATATCGAAAATAAACCATGTAGATATACTCCTAATAATTCAAATAAATTGGTTATTTGGACTCTAAAATCAAATTACAAGTGTAATACAGACTTTAGCCACAAGATGCTGCTAAAGGAATTAAAGTTCCTGAGCTGTGCGGTGTTTTACAAATTACAAAGGCAAAATAGTGGATTGTCTTTCTGTCTCTATGCTTTGGAGGAATTATCCTGCTATTTAGTTATTGCCTGCCATTTGTAGTAGATGCTCATTTAGGGGAGTTAATGTGCAACAAGTAATTATGTGTGTAAATATAATACCCCCTCAGAAATCTGTCAATGTGGAGGTTTTCAGTTTTGGTGAATTTAAGAAATGCATGAAAACGATTCACACAAACTAAAATGGAGTGAAAATGGGCCAATCGGTGTACTACAAAACAAACAGAATATAAATATTATGCATAATTTTACAGTACACTGATAGGTACAATTTCTCACCATCCATTTGGTTCACAGACAAAGTAAGTAGTAACCAATCGGAGGGGGTGGAGCAGTATAGAAATCTTTTTTATTATAAATTATATCGTTTGGGGTGGGTGTTTTTGTGGGGGGTTCTCTCTCGATTGGTCACTTCTCGCTTGATCTGTGAATAAAAAACATTTAGTTCTGTCCTATAACCAATCAACTCCCCCCCAATCAATCATTTTTTTTTTGGCACCACATTCAGAACTCCGAATCAAGAAATAAAACTGTTAATCTATTCTACGTTAAACTATTTGGTCATATGGCGATTTGGAGTTATGGAATTCGGACACACACTGATTGCCCAAAATTTGGATGAGTTTCAGTTAGTTTGAAACCGATTGCACAAGTTTAGTGTATAATGGGCAGAACTTGGCAGGCACAAGGAGGGGCAGTCTATAAAAATCACCCACTGCAGAGTCTTTGATCCTGGGAACAAAAGAGTATTGTGTATTTTATGCCACTGGGGTTCTATGGACAGTGAGCTGAGAGCCATTAGAAGGGGTGAATGGAATGGGATCACTAAACAGAGATTATCAATGGCATCCTGCGATCAGGCTTTCCAGCTGTTCACAAAAACATGTAAAAGTTGAACTACAGGTTATCTTTAGCAGCATTCTTAACAGGGTTCTGACCAGCTGATACCATAGATAAAAGGAATAGATACTTTATATGTGAAGAATTTTACCTGGGGCGTATAGAGGGGAGGAAAAAAACACAGCTGATCATGAGAACTGTTCATTGTGCACTTTTTATTGGGTGCACTGTTGTCCAGGATTAGCTATATGTTCAGTTATTTGTGTATTATCAAAAAAAAAGGGTGCTCCGTGTGCCTAGGGACAAATTAATGAAGGGCTCAATAATATTTGAACAAGTCAAGTTTCGTAGTTCTTAACTTATAGAGTGCTAACACATTCTGTCTCGATGTCCTTCGGTACAAATTGGTAGAGTAAAAAGAAACACAAAAATATTTGACAGATACAGGAAGAGTTGAAGGTCCTATGGGAACTTACAGTCTAGGTAAAACTCTAACACTAATTCCTGTATAGATTCACTAAAACTGATTGTTAGTGAATTGGACACAGGTATAGTAAAGTTGGAGAATTTTTCATAAAAAGCACTTATTGCACACATTTTACAGTTCAGGAAATAGTTTTAACTTAGATGGGACACTATGGTCACCCAGGCCACTTCAGCTCAATAAAGTGGTCTGGGTGCCAGGTCCCTCAGGCTTTAACCCTTCAGATGTAAACATAGCAGTTTCAGAGAAACTGCTATGTTAATATAGCAGGGTTAATCCAACCTCTAGTGGCTGTCTTCCTGACAGCTGCATTGCTGGATGCGAAATTCGCATTCCAGAAAGTCCATAGAAAAGCATTGAGAAATGCGCGTTCTGCTCCACTCGGGAGCTGATGTCGGCGGGGGAGGAGAGGTCACCAGTGCAGAGGGAGCCCGGCATTGGATTAAGGTAATTGGCTGAAGGGGTTTTAACCTCTTCAGCGCAAAGAGAGGGGGACCCTGAGGGTGGGGGCACCCTTAGGGTACTAGAGTGTCAGGAAAACTGGTTTATTTTCCAGACACTATAGTGATCCTTTAAACCTTGCTTCAACCAGTATTCAGGCAAATAATGAAAGAAATTCAGGCAAGCTTGGCAGGGCAGTCTTTCCTCATGGGCACACTGGGTGGTTGCCCGGGGGCCCCACCGTGATGCCCCTGCCGGCCAGTGGAGAGCCAGCCCTGTTATCTTCCCATGAGCCCTTTTGGGCCGGTGAGATCAAAGATCTACCTCACCCGCCCAAAGGCCCTTCCTTACAGGAGAGAGAGGGCAGGAGGACCCGCAGGGATCTGAGAGGAAGAGCGCTCCTCGTGTGGAGGGATGCCATGCTCCACACAGCATTCTGCATGTGGGAGGACAGGAGAACTCACCACCACCGGGGCTGGCTGTGTCACCCCAGCCCCCTCCTTCAAAGGTAAGAAGAACGGACATTACGAAAAAAAAAAATTTTTGCGCCCCCCACGCACAGACAGTCACCACACACACCCCAACACAGCACCTCCTCACTGCAGTCTGGTTGTATTCAGCAGTGTGCATGTGTATCCAGCAGTGACTATATTCAGCAGTCTGTATGTATGCATTGCATTTGTTGAAGGTACCAATTAATATAAGTTTATTATAGATTATTTAGATTTTTATTCCTGTGAGTTGTGTAGGCAGTGCCCCACTTTGCCTGGGGGCCCATAATGCTGTTAAAATGGCACTGTTTGGGTCAAAATATTATTGCTGGACACTTTAATTCAAATAAAATTGCTCATGCACAGAGAGGGATTATCTTCCTGATGTTTTATTAAACATTGACATGTCTGCTTGGTGCAACAGGTATATGTAGGTTTGTGTTTGTATGTATATTGTAATTTTTTAAAAACCTATATCTAAAAAGAAATGTTTTATCACATCACTATTAAAAATGTAAAATATTTTATTGTCAGCTTGGCTAAATCCATCCAACTATGAATGACAATGACAGGCTAAAAAAAAATAAAAAAATAAAAAATTAACCCACCCTCAGCGTTCTCAGTCTGCCCACCTTAAGGGACACTAGTCACCCAAACCACTTCAGGCCATTGAAGTGGTCTGGGTGCCAACTCCCATCACCCTTAACCCTAGAGTGATAATTATTGCAGTTTTTATAAACTGCAATAATTACCTCGCAGGGTTAAGTCCTCTAGTGGCAGACTACCAGACAACCACTAGAGGAACCTCCGGCTTCTAAGACTACTTTTGGTCTTCTAAAAGACACTGGACATCCTCATGCTATGCATTTGGACCTCCAGCGTCACTGAAATCCCCATAGGAAAGCATTTAATAATGCCTTCCTATGGGGAGGTCTAATACGCACACGCGTGGCCATTGCTGCGCATGTGCATTAGGTCTCCCGACGGCAGGTGAGGAGCCTAACCCAGCGCCGATGTCCCTGTCCCTCCAGGTAAGTGTCTGAAGGGGTTTTAACCCATTCAGGGATGGGGCACTCCAGGATTCTCTAGTGCCAGGAAAACGGGTTTTCCTGGCATTAGAGAATCCCTTTAGGATGGCAATGACAGGCCAATATTTCACATATCTCCCAGCGTTTTCAGCTTTGAAAGTAAAGGACTGTGTGTATATGAAAGTTTTACTAAAAATCACTTTTCTTATTGCAGTTAAACGAAAAACTGGGAAAGTTTCACATGTAATTTATTCATACTTGCAGATATATAAGTAATCTGATTTATAAATACCTATGGGTGAATTTAAATAAATACATATACTTTAAGGATTGTTCACTAAACTCAAATTGAAATTCAAATAGAAAAATGTAGGCTACAATAATACAAGAGTCACAGTGGATAGCCCTGCTAATAAAAGTATGAATGTTAACATGTTCTCTCCCAAGAATCCTGACAAAAGGTTTCGTGGCCTCCTCCTCCGCATCCAGCTCCTCCTTTAACCGGGAGGCCACCTCGACCATTATCTGGAATCTTCTCTTTCTGTCCTCACAATAACTGGAGGGTGTTTCAGCTGCAGGAGGGTGGCTTTGAACTTCAAAAGGGCTCCTAACCTGCAGCATAACAGGAGGAGCCTGCGACACTGTAAATGGGTCAAAGTAGTGCTGTTGGAATGAATGGCGTCATCTTATGCAAAGCTCTCCGTCTGGCGTTGATAAACCAGTCCTCTATCTGCAAACAGATTATATAGGGGTCAGTCATTGTAAGACATCTACATGCATATGTGGGGGACAAATTGTAAATGGAAGTCCCTTCCACCTGAAGTCATTGGCTAGTCACATTGTACACACGCACACACTTCATTTATGTCACTAAAGATACTTAAAAACCTTCTGCATATCCAGTCAGTCTTTTTTAACACTATACAAACATTGTGCGTCTAATTTTTGGATGAACACTAATGCTGAATGGAAGTTATCCTCTGGAGCAGTTCATTTGCAAGCAGGGCAGAATATTAATGTCACGTGATGAGAGAATCACACATGTAAACCCTTCTCTGCCAAGTCCTAATTTCATTGGTTTTCTTAGACATTTTCTATATACACGTAGAGCTTTGATACTTGACACTGTGGTTGTTGTTGAACACATTTCCCATAATGCACAGAAAATGTAGATGAGCATTTTGGGAAAGACTGCAGTGCCAAAATAAAGCCATGACTGGACCAGCTTATGTTTTACAATATGTACGAGTTTAATACAGATGGCACACAATGAGGTTATGTATAAAGATCAGTTCTGGAAGTATCGGTGTTCCATAGTGATTGGTCTACTATTAAATCTCTTACTGATATTACTATTCATATAGAAGGTTCAGGTTGTCTAAGGGCATCCCAGGTATAGAATGGGGTCAGGTTACATACCTGCTTACGGGTTAGACCTGTTTTTTCTATCATTTCTGCTTTTTCAATGTCCTTTGGGTATGGGTCTTCACAGTTATCCTCCAACCATTTATACATTAGTGAAACTGCTATTTTTGGTAAGTGTTTGCAGTTTTCCGCAGTGCCTGGTTCATTCCTGGCATTGCTTGTTCCTGCAGGATGGGGAGAGAGAATGGTTAGATTGGGAACAGAAACATAGTGATTTCTCCCCAGTGGCCGGCTTCACATTCTGTGCTCCCATAAAAAAAATTTCACAGCATTCCAATTCACAGCATTGTGCAGTGTATATAATGTCACAGAGCTCCAAAGATTATAAAACTCACAATAGTGTAGTACATTCACTCAGATTGTTATCTCAGGTCTACTCCTTTGTGAATTCCTTCAATCATTACAGGTAGTATCTTACCTTGCGTTCATATTGTAGTATTGGATAGCAGGGAGCCAAAACCTGAATACCTGTGGACAGGTGAGGGAATGTGACAGTCTAACTAGTGAGAATACTTTGATTAATTTATTCCCTTTAGATTTGGGAGGGGGTCGTGTAAAATATTAAGCAAAGTCTATGATTGCTCTGCCAAGCAACCAGATTCCTTAACCAGTTTTAAATTTGTCTTTTAGTGAAAATTAGCATTTCACTGAGATGTCCTTTAATTGGATTAAAAAGGTGTAAACTGCATTATTTAAAATAAAACTGGACTGTTTAGCTGTGTCTCCATGCACAGAGGGGGGTTATCTTCCCGTCATCCAGGCCTCTAACTAAAGATTGACATGTCTGCTAGGTGCAAATATATTTCTAGATTTAATTTGCAACAGGTCTATGTATGTAATAAACAAACCAATATCTTTAAATAAAAAAAAAAAAAATATATCACATGGCTATTGCATAAAATACAAACTATATTTACCTGTAGACCCGCTCACACCCCCCATCCCAATAGCTTGGCAGAGCTTTCTATGGATATAGTGGGTGTGTGGCCAAGAAGGAGACATGCCGGTCAGTGTGAGTTTGTCTTATACACATATTGCCAGTCATGCTGCCATCTATACCCACGTGCCGAGCACTGTGAGTTCACTCTGGCATTGGTTATTCTGTATAATAATTAATGGACAAGCTGGACAGAGCATATGGCATGAGTTAAATGAAGATTAACAGTCTGCAATAAGGTGTTGGTACAAGTGCCCACAGTCCCTCCTAGACTTTGCTGCATCGAAATATCTGTTTTTCTATGGGTACACCCAGGTATGCTTATAATATGCATCAAATAGATAAGTGAGATAGAGGCATTAATGTAGTGATGGTGTAGAGTTTGATACATGAATGGAAATTTACCAGGATTAGTCACTAAATTATGTTTTTTTTTGTGACTTCTCTCATTTTCAAGCTATGCATATACCATAATTGATATTTTTTGTTCTTGTTTTTTCCCCAATCTGGCTTTAATGTGCAATTTTAAGTCATTAACATTCATAATTTGGCAGAACACCCTGCGAGTGCACAGACCTTTATTTTTATATATTGTCTATAGATTTCCTGACATGACTGGTCTCTCAGCCAGGACGTGTTTTGTGCCACAGCCAACTTCATGATGGAAGGTATTCTAAATGCCATATTTTATCTTTTAATCTGGACACTATAGCAAAACACAGGGATACATTATAATCCTAATAACCCTGCAAAATGCATTCTTTAAAAGCATCCCACCTTATAGGGCCAGCATACACAGATCTTGTAAACCATTCTATTACTAGCTGTTTCATAGACTTCTGGAAGCACATTCCTGGAAACACATTTACATTTTGTTAGTACTCTGTTGGACATCTAACCATATGGGGCTTGTTTATGCAATCTCAATGCCATTGACATTACAATTGTTGGTTACAGTGTGTATGGATTAGATAGTGCTGGTGTCACAACACAGACTCCTTGTATTGTCCTGTAAATCCATTCTGGGAACATACAATGGATATTAAATGTTCTAACGACTCAATGCTACAGGGTGCGTTCTGCCCTTTACTAAAAAATATCACATATCTCCCCCTGCCAGGATTTAGAATGGATGGATTATGGCGGAAAGATTTGAAAATTTTTAGCCATCCTATGTCCTTGTTACTTCCTGGGATTTTTAAAAAACATACACAGATTTGTACAATATTCTTGTGTGAGATGTAAATTCATGCTGCCTGCGTTACTTTATTACCATCGTATACATCATTTCATTTTACAAGCTACTGTAATGATAAAATAGTTTTAACATTATATTTCAACATTCTGATATCCATCTATTTAGACATTACAAACATCAGATACTTGGTATTTTGAGCTGGCTTTCTAGAGGAGTTATTTTTTTAAATTGTACTTTTAAAGTAAGTATATATTACTTTCATTGTGTTGCTATACCTTAATCAAACAAATATGTCTGTTTTAAAGAGAACATTGTTATTACAGCACTGTTAAACCCTTTTTTAGTAACCTCAGTAACATAGCAATTTAATATTTATAGACCTGGAGGATTTAGAGTTGGGATATTATATGATTAGAGAGGCTTGAGGGTTAAGGGGTATTTAGTGTAAGGAGGTACCTGCCCTAAAGGTGCCGATTAATTTCCTTATAGCTTACATTGCATGACCGCAAACACCTATGTGTCCTAAACCCATTGCATGGGGTACACACTGCCATACCTCACATTACAGCACTGGGTATAGCAATGTTCTCTGCGCTGTGATGGTGCCCCATTTACTAGATTGCACTGCATTCTAAATAAAAATAAATAAATAAGTGATTTGTGCCAAACTGACAGATTCCCATTTCAGTCCTGTCTATACCGGTCTATTTGGCAAGTTTATCCAGGTACTTTAAAAATAGGGATTTTATTTGCCGTGTTCCACCACAGTTCAATACACATTTGGATAAATATTATAATTATTATAACAACTACATCATCGCTATTTATAAAGCGCCAACAGATTCTGTAGTGCTTTACAATATTATTATTATTAAAAGAGACGTGACAAGTTAAGGTTTTTAAGTGAATTTTCATGGAGGGTTTTGATGCGTCCGTGTCCCACTTTGGAGCACTTGAGCAGGCTACATATTACAACTACATAAAGGCATACCATTTCTTAAAGAACACATCCCAGGGTATTTCAAAAGGCATATTTTGAACGTTAGCGTGGGATTATTTTTCCGCTAGCTTGTACCAAGTGTAGTGGTAATAAGCTTTTTTTTTCTGCCTTTTTGACACAGAAAGTGAGTTTGCGCAATATATTTTGCAAACCTTATGTATGCTACGACTGTATAATACTTCATATGTTGCTCAGCTATGTCGGCTGAGTACAGCAATACCCCCGTATGTACCTTTGCCAGGTATATGTGGACATTGAAGGGGCACATTTGAGACACAGCCATTCCAGTTTCTCAAATTTTGAATTTTTACGTTGTGTCCATGTCCCATTTTAGAGTATTTTACAAGGCTATATAATCCAATTACACCATGAAGGCATACCATTTCTTAAAGAAGACATCCCAGGGTACTTCAAAAGGCATTTTTGAACCTTAGTGTGGGATCATTTTTCCGCTAGCTTGTACCAAGTGTAGTGGTAATGAGCTTTTTTTTACTTTGTAAAACCCGTTTTTGTAAACTTTTTTACTTATTAAATGGAGGGGAGGTGAAGAGAGGGGGAGAGACAGATGGAGAATTTAAATTGAACCCCTGAGGGAAGGGGTTAACTTTTATTTAGACTGGGTAAAGGGGGTGGTTTTTCCTTAAACATTACTAAAACATTTAAAAAAAAATGTTTTAACTTTTTAAAGCTTATTTTAAAAAACCTTTTTTTAACGTTAACCCCTAGGTAGCCTAACACCAAATTCCCTAATTCCCCACTAACTACCACCCATCCCAGCTAGCTAAATATATACTAATTAACCCTCATGGGTTAAAAAAAAAAAAATTTTTTTTAAATCAGATGACATTAAAATGTATACCCTGCAGGGAAAAGGGGGGGATTTAACTTTATTTTTACACAGGGAGAAAATAAAAAAAATTAAAAAAAAACACAGACAGCGCGACACAGAAAGAGAATTCTCTCAACATTCCTCCCTGCCATCCCATTATCAGTGGGACTTTCATGAGTTCAGAGTCCTAATATGGTCTGGTACTGCAAGAGTCCATTGGGCGGGTGACACCACAAGTTATTGTACCAGGTGACACCTTTGCTTTATATTTGTCTTATATAAATATACATGTTTTAAGACTCTGCACATTTTTATGCAAGCCAGAAAATATATCTCACAAATTCACAAGCTCAGACAGAAAATAAAAACATCTAGTTTAGAGACCGTGTAGTTCACTTGTCACCAGTTCTCATGGTGAATGCGCTCGTCTTCTATATGAATTCACCGTGATGGTGCGGCTGAAGACTAATGGCTATAATATACCGAGTGAATAAAATGGAAACCCCATCAATGTTTCTCTAATAGAAATTGGTAAATCTTTCACAATAGGTAATATACGTCCTGGTTGTTACAATATCCCCATAAACGGGTTATAGGGTCTATAACCATTAGCCTGAGTAGCCAATAGTGCCATCTAATGATCATTTTTAGATTTGCATGACATTAAAGATGCACCAGCTGCAATGTCTTGGAAAAAAAAAAATATATAGAAGCTACGCACCAGCTATATGAACAAGCGCATCCTTAAAGGACAAAAAAAAAAAATACACAGGTAGGGATAAGCACTAGAAGAACTACAGAAAATATAGGCAGCAAACTCTGGATACAGGGGACTTACATCCTAAAATTTATTTTACATAAAACACACAAAAACAGGTTGCATCAATGGATGGATATAAAGATAAAATGAGTGAAGTATATATATGGAATAAACATAAAGTCCAATATTCACAATCCCATCTGCTTTTAAATTCTTGACAGGCATCAGTTCTTGATGAAGGTGCTTGAAAACGTGAAAAGATACAAAATTAAATAGTGAAGATTGTTTAAGCAGGAAGATAAAACTCAAGAATAATTAGTGGAATTGCACTCATATTTAATAGCTTAAATTAGCTCTAAGTAAAATAGTTTGCAGTGGTACAATCCCCACTGATGGATATAAAACTCTGTAGCCCAGTGTCTCAGCATAGTGATGGTGATATGAAAAACAGATATACAATAGTGCTTACTGTAAGTACAATTTATATAAAAGAAATGGATGAATTTTACTCACATTTGATTGAGCACTATATATATCACTCAAATATCTGTGCGGATATAGTTTGAAGTAGTTGTCCAAAATTGAAGTTGGATGTGTCACAAACAAATAAAATAGTTTTTTTTAAAGGGTAATGAATGGTCTAATATATATAACGGAAAACCAAATGTACTATAATGCTAAAGGGAAAAAAAGGCTTTTTCAAGTGTAAACAGATTGACCTGGCACATAAGGTATATATAGGGGGTAATGGCAGTTAAAATGTTTATTTTTGGCGCCAAAATGAAGACCTTTGACCTCAATAAGGTCACATGATATATACAAATGAGGTTAAGGGAAACAGGAAGTTGTGCGGCGGCCTTTTTGGATATGGGCATACAATGGGGAATAAAAGGGAATGGGCACTAAATGCTTATTTAGAAAAGTTGTGGAAGAACAGAAAAACAACAGCATATAAATTTAGTGTACATGTGTGTGTAAACTTTAAGTTGTATGTTAACATCTTTTCATCCATATACCCTGACTCCTCTCCTGCAACTGTCAAAATAACATACTAAGCCCTCAGTGAATACTTTTCTAGCAACCTACTTCATTACCCCTACTTTACCCTTTGTGTCACTATACCTCACTTTCTCTAGCATGTAAGCTGAGACTTGCATTGCACTGTAGTCCGGAGCATAATACAAGGACATTTAACATTTGAAATAAAATATGTAATAAAATAAAGTAAACAGCTGCCATTGGGGCAAGAACGTATTTGTTATAGAGGTATATGACAGCCCCCATGGGAAGATAGTCACCCAACTCCCTGCGTGGGCATGAAGCATGAGCTGTTTTTGCCGTGTTCCCCTGAGACTGTGAATTGTGAGCGCATTTGGCAGAGGGTGCAGTCTCTGTGTCCGTGCGCCTGCCTGAATATTAGTGCTGTCAGCCGATGCCTTGTGGGATCTCGGTGGTGCCCTGATGTGGTGATCTATGTCTCGCCCTCGGCGATCCAGGAGTGCAGGGGGACGTAGCTCTGGTGTGGAGGTCTGGCTCACTCGACGGGTAAGTCATAGTCCCGGTTGTGGGTCTTTATTTTGGTTGTGATTGTGGGCTGCTGCTGGTCCGCTGCAAGTGCTCAGGTGCTGCTGCCTTGTTTGGCTTTGTTGCATCACTGCTTGTAGGCGATGTGGC